TGGCTGATTCATCGTTCATTTTATTCCCCCTCGTAAGTATTCGTACGGAATTTGGAACTATAGTGTCATTACACGCCATAGCACGATTATAAAGACCACTGAGATAGCTCAACCAATCACAAGATAATTAATAAATAGTCCGATTGTATTGGACATGTTCAGTACTACGATCCGGCCTTAGCAATATTCACTTTTCTTTCGGACCTATGTATGAAGATTGTCTCTACTGGTGTAGACTATGTTAGTGTGAACTCAATCTCTGGGGCCCTTTGAAGCTAACCGAATTCGGTAAATGCCGCCGACTTCGACCATATCAAAGTTTGCCAAAATTTAGTCTACGATTTGTCACATCACACATGACTTTCGGCATGAAACTTTATAAATGTTAGTCATATTAGTTTACCACTTGCAGCATATATCAGAGGATATCTGAAGGTTTAGCTGTCAAAACTGAGCCCTCGGTGTCGCCGCATTGTACTAGTATGTTCTTACCCGATAGAGGAAATGCTCCTCATAAAGGGCTAGACTAAACCTTGGTTAGATGAAGAATAAAATAACAAGATTGAGCAGTATCGCTGCGGGAGTTTCCAGAGAGTGGCAAAATGATAAGTGCATATCGCAAATCCGAAACTCTCCTAGCTGTGTTCAACATCGATCTTGAATAGTCTATAGTGAATAGGCCACTAAATTTAATGTATATGCGCAATTAGTTCGGTTACGAGATCACAAGTTGAACAAGGAATTTCCATAGTGAGCATAGCCATATCCCCTTCCGTATGTCTGCATGAATTTGTAATATATGACTTACTGTGTTTCAGACGTACATATAACTGGGCGGGTACGTGGTGGCACGAGAATAGAATTGTGTAGCTTCCTATCTGCTTCTTTAACCAACGGACGCCATGACTGTCGTATTCATACCTAATGAAAGAGAATGACTCCATTTTAAGAGGAGTATTTCATCTCATAAAACAGATACCCCGCAGCCGAGTCACCATATACGGATCAGTCGCATAAGCTCTACAAACCTCACCTCGTGCTGTTGGTAATGGATTACGAAGCAATCCACACACTCCTATTATGCCATGTCATAGATATATCGCAAAAAGTGGCTACATTAAGGGGTATAAAGGAGAGAAAATCCTTCAAAGAGTTTTCTCAGATATCATCAAAGGAGCTCATTCGTCCAAAGAATTAAAGTTTTAAAAAACAAAATGGCGAAACAAAGAGCTAAATAACGACACCGGGTCCAGGGTCAAAACAAAGCTGAAAATATTGGAGCAAGAAGGCGTGAGATTCGATGACCAAGGCATGCTTTCAGATCCCAAGCTTTTGTTCAAGGGTCCTTGGAAGGTCGGATAAGATGATGGCCGCCATGACGATGAATTAATTATTTAAGTTGTATGAATATGGAAAGAGGAACTGGAATTATGTTATTTGTATACAGTGTGGATGGATGAATGAGTGGATTTGATATATGCTGATCCCTCGATTTTAGTTGGATCCTCGGTAATGTGAAGTGTATAGATCCATTTCTAGGCAGACATTTTGATAGGCAGTAGGGAAATGAGCTGCTGTGATTGGAAATATTGGATCTCTTAATATAGATCAAATATCACACTTTTACCTTAATCCCGGGTTTTAACTCTTGGGGCGATATGTAGCCTACCAAAATTAAACAAATCCGTGTACTTACAGGTGCAACACTTCCGGAATGAACTTATAGCCTTGGCGAGGCCTATCGTCGCCTAGGTAATGTGTCAGTCATTAGGCTGCCTACTTGGAGCCTGACTTTGAAATAGTTGTGAAGGTTCCGCAAATTTCAATATAGCATCCACTATCTTAGCTAGGGAGACATTGCTGGTATTGCCTCTCTTACCTGCACTGTAACCTCCTAATAAGATAGCCACGCTATTAAATGCCTTACTAACCCTCCGATATAGTGCCCGCCGCAAAATACTAAGGTTGGGTCAGTCTAGAAGGATATTCGCTATATGTTCTTAATCACCACAGACGCATAAGTCGTCGTCTCGGAAGCGAACGCCCTTAGGGTATATAGCTAACTAACGGTGCCTGTTCGTAGCTGCGTTAGTAGATAATTTCGGCTCCTTGATAAGGATCTATAGAGTTTTCTCGTGCATTTGGCTAACAGCGTGCTGGTAATCATGTATAGATGATTGCACGATGATTGCCAGTTTTGAACTGTTCTATCCTTATCCAAACTATTATAAATCTGCTCTCGACTAAAAAACTTCTTCCGTGCTAAGAAAGGGGATAGGTAAGTTTTACCGGGAACGGCAGCCTTTATCGCTAGCTGATTCGCAAGGTTATTCCCAGACACGTAAATGTGCTTAAAGTAGGCTTATATATTCTAGAGCTTGATCATAGGTTTTAAATTCTCTTCGTGTTTGATATGATGGGGTAGGAAGCGGTGGCACTGTTAATGTTGAGTAATCTATACGCTTCTTTATTAATTGCATGCATAGCTTTGTGAGAACAGTAATAAATTCGCTCTTATAAAGTTCTGATTTCAGAGAACCGGTAAGTTTATATTGTTGTAAAAGGCATTCAATATTACCCAAAGAAGAGTCTTCTTACCTAATTTGCGAATTGGCGACTCAGATTTAATACTGCCATTGGGATTAGAGGAATTCTAATCTCCACAAATCAGAATGATACAACGGTCGCTTGCTATCGAGGCGTTTGACTCCGGATCGCAAGGAGGATCTGCGTTTTGCACGGGGACGAAAAATAAAGTTAAAAATGTGGTCTTGGCAAACTTAATATGTTCATCACTTAATATAAATAAAGACTTTAACAATACCTGTGACATCTATAATTAGCGTCATGTGTTCCAGTTTCGTGCTTGAAAGTTCCTTCACGTCTGGTTAACTGATTAATCTCCTCAAAGCTCGCGGTCAATTGATTCTTTCTGCTTAAGTACATGTAACATCACAAATATCACGACTTTATCAACGTGTTGGGAGACTTATACAACGAACTGCATATCAATCTAGAGTTGGATCATTCTTCGTAAAAGCATTGACTTTCGAGATAATGTCCCACCGCTTTTTTATTTTCTCTCCAAAATGGAATTGCGGTAATGATTTCTGGATTAAGCTTTCCAAGGGGTCGAAATTGTAAATGTTTGTACCTCCTGCCCCCCACAATACGTGTGCTAACCATGGCACGATATGTAAATTGGCAGCGGTGACATCTTTACCAGCAGCGTAAGGTAGAGTGAGCATTTCATCAAGCCTCTTGAGACCATCTGCAAAGTCTTGATAGCCAGCCTTGGAATCGCGGAAGAACTGTTCATGTTCTGATTCTGCCTTCAAACTCTTACATAGCTCGTACAGTTTTCCATTCTCGTGGATACGTACTTAATATAATGGTATCTCAGGGTGAGAGATGCCATATTGAACAAGCTTCTTTTGTCGATTTGCAAGGAAATCATTCGAAAGCTAGCTCTTCTTGCATCCAGCTCTGTTTGATCACGTGCTTGTAGAAGAATAAGATTTGTCGAGAGCTTTTCCTGGTGGACATGAGAAATTAAATCATCAACTCTTCGCCGCTCTTCAGCGTTAGTTGGAAATAACGAATTGATTTCCGGGCGAAGAGAGTCGTTATACTCCAAAATGTCCACACTTTCGTTTAAGGGCTTGGAAGATTTGACGATGTCAAAGATGGGATTGTCCCATTGGGATTAATATTCACATAGTCGGGATTGAAGTTTTCTCCACCAACTATTTTGATTTCGTTAGCCGCCATGGAAGAAAGAATGAAGATCAGGAACTTTACCAAGGTCTATATTTTGCGAGTCATATTCATACAGTTTATATTTCTTGTGTACAAGGGCAAGGTGAGGAACATAAGCCCATTGCGAAGCCGTAGACGTGTAGATGGTAAACTAGTTAGTCAGCTAGGGTGCAGATCTATCTCTATTTTTGACATACCTTGGTCTTGAAGTCGGTGATGTTGAATAGTGAGCGCCTGATGATACAGATCAGGAATGATAATGTTTTGTCTTTTTGAGATTTAGCCAACAAGGCAGACTTGAAAACTGAATCCGTTTTATATCATATCTCCCTTCTCGCTATCTGATATTCTTGGATATTCCTGACACAGCGAGATTAATGTAATGTAGTCACTCAGTCTTACGTGTTACTGCCAAATCATGAGACATCTAAGCATTCTATCGATTACGCGGTATTACGTCAGCGGATTTGATTAAACAATTCCCGGCCGTGCGGAATACTATACCGCGTTAGACAATTCCTAAGTCGATCATCTCAACCAACACCCCTTAATTCTACCGCCTCTCTCTATTTCGCTCAATACATTTGTTTGTTTCAATTTCAGGATTATACGTTTCGTGAGGAAATTGTTTTCCTAACACGAGATCAAATGACCTCTTGTATTAAAGAGGACCTTGGCATCCTCTTTGCTAGCGTGACTTAAAGTTCATGCGTCGTTACATAACCGCACTTTGTCTTTTAACGAATAGTCGCCCGTTTGAGCCTGGTTCGTCTTAGTGATTTTCGTATTTTTGCAATGAAATTATGTCTGATTAAGGAATGTATCACGGTATGCGGCCAATCGTTCTATGGTTGCGTAGCCAAATCTCACGAAAATGTTATAATGAATGTTACCTTGTTGATAAGTAACATAACGTAACCAGTTACAAATAGCTGAGTCACGGGTCAAATATGATCAAAAGTAATAATGCCGGAAGTAGCGAACATGGGTTCACGAGATAGTAGAATATCATTTGTACACAGAAGATGCGGTCAGTTTAGGTCAATGGCTATTTATATCTTGGAAGACTAATCTTTTAGATGTGGTTGTAATTAATACCCAGCATCCGTTTCACAACCATATATTCGCAGTTCACGGACCTCATTGTTGAATTACTTGGAATTTTCTTCACTCGCTGAAGACCGAAATCAGATCTGGGGCCTCTTACCTGACTATATTACCGGACGGTCTATTTCTTTTTCATGGAATCCCAAAATTATGACTATATTGTGCTTGGGGGAGGAAGTGGCGGTAGTGGTAGCGCTCGTCGTGCTGCGAGTTCATTTGGTGCGAAGACTCTCATTGTAGAAAGTGGACGTTCAGGAGGAACTTGTGTGAATGTCGGGTAAGCTACGTTCGGACATTGACGTCAATCATGGTGATGTCCAATTATAGCAAAACTTTTAACTGTCTGCAGATGCGTTCCTAAGAAATTAACCTGGAATCTTGCATTTGTCAATGAAATGATCGAAGCAAGCAGAAAATACGGTTATAATATTCCAGATGAAGTCACTGTTGATTACAGTTCCTTCAAAGCTAAACGTGACGCGATTGTAAAACGGCTCAATGGCGTTTACGAGCGAAACTGGAAGAAAGAAACCATTGATCTGGTGCGAGGACGAGCTTCGTTCGTGTCTTCGCAGACAATTGAAGTTACAAGGTCGGACAATCTGCGCAAAATACAGTACACAGCGCCACATATTCTCATTGCGACTGGAGGCCGACCAAACATTCCAGACCTACCTGGCGCTCAATACGGCATGACGAGTGATGGATTCTTTGATTTAGAGGAACTTCCATCTAAAGTAGCAATTGTTGGAGCTGGCTATATTGCAGTTGAACTAGCTGGAGTCATGGCAGCTCTCGGAGTGGAAACACATATGTTCATCCGAGGTTCTCATCTTCTCAGGAAGTTCGATCCTATGATACAAAGCACGATCACCAATCATTACGAGCGCGCTGGTATAACAATTCATCGGGAACACCGTGGGTTTGCGGAAGTTCAGCTACTCAAAAGTGGGGAGAACAACCATAAGTTTTTAAAGTTAGTTAACCAGGATGGATCGGAAATCATAGTGAATGATATTTTATGGGCGATTGGCCGCAGCCCAGAAATTTCGGATTTACAACTTGATCGACTCGGGATCGACTTAAACAGCTCCGGTCGCGTCAGAGTCGATGAATATCAAAACACTTCAGTGAAGGGTATATATGCACTTGGAGACGTTACGGGTCAAGCTGAGTTAACTCCAGGTATGTAAAGCCTTTCCTTGAAAACCTTCCGTACTGAATCTTTCGTTTCAGTTGCCATCGCAGCAGGCCGCCAGCTGAGCAATCGTCTATTTGGTCCCCCCGAATTTGCAGCTTCAAAATTATCCTATGAAAATATCCCAACTGTCGTTTTTGCACACCCCGAAATCGGTTCTATTGGACTCACAGAGCCTATTGCACGGCAAAAATATGGCAATAGCCAGATAAAAATCTATCACACCAAGTTTACTGCCATGTTCTACGATATGTGGACAGAAGATGAGAAGACGAAATTTCCGACAGAAATGAAGCTAATCTGTACTGGACCTAACGAAAGAATAATTGGCATGCATATACTAGGCCTGGGAGTATCTGAAATGTTGCAAGGATTTGGGGTGGCAGTCAAAATGGGTGCTACAAAGAGTGACTTTGATAATTGCGTGGCAATTCATCCTACAAGCGCGGAGGAAATTGTGACTTTGCGTTGAGTCAACTTTGTCTTTGATTTATCCTATTGAATCAGATTGTCTGAAGAAACTTTTAATTAAGCTTGGGAGATGTTTTTACGGCGCGATCATATAATCTACTTGTTCTTTAACGCGGTTTGTCGTACAAAGCAATACGTGAAGCGCCTGGTGGATGAAACAGGAACTGGCAACAAGTTTCGTCGGGGTACATAACATAGGGCATTTCAGCTCCATGACTCTGCTTAGTCTGATCGCAACTATCTAATTGCGAAATAAACTCAGCAAATGAAGGCCTTCCGCTGAAGAGATTTCTGGAACCGAATCTAGTGAACTTCCCAGAGTTCTTTCAATACAAAAAAAATGCAGACTTTCCGATCTATTGCCAAGATCTTCAGAAGTAATCGCATTATTTTCAGCCAACCATTAGGAACTCAATGCGAAATAAGAGCAGCTATACCTGCTTCTCTCGTCTGACACTGACCTTTTTCCATAGCGCCCTCTAAGATAAGCGCCGTCGTAGAACACAAATATATGAGAATGAGCTCTTCCATATTGATAATAAAGTTCAGCTGAATGACTAATAAAGCTATTATTTGTGAGTTAATTGCATTTCACAATATAATCATTATAATTACGTTTTCAGACTGTTTGGTGCGTTCCAATTACACAGAAATTAGAATTCCGATGTCATATACCTAATTAGTAAGACTTCCTTATTAACTAAAATTCATGTTCGACCACTATCGAAGCCCGCTGAAGTAATGAAGTTGAGGTCTTTGCTGTAATTTACGAGACAGGACGTGAAATAGCGCCACGGAAGCAACCAATCAATTTATCACTGCCGGCCCCCTTTGATGAATCAGCAATTCTGTATCGCTCATGTGGGATTTAAATACCTATTGTCTCGAGTGATCATGCATTCGATTTTACCACATTCAATACAATCTCACATTTAATGACTCCAACTTCTTTGCTATTGAACAAAAATGCTTACATTCTACTTTCTGCAAACCTCCCGGGCATTTCGGATTGCTTGGTTGCTTGAGGAACTGAATGTCGAATATGATTTGAAGTCCGCTGAGCGCAATCCCGACCTCTCCGTCCCAACTTCCTTAAAGGTGCCCACTTCATTGGGAAAATCACCGGCCATTCGAGATGGTAATCTAGTAGTTGGGGAATCTGGAGCAATTACCGAGTATGTTGGTATTCAGTCAGTCATTTAGACAGGACTTAATTGGTAACCACATTTAGATACCTCGTTGAAACATACGATACTGAGCGTCGACTGATGCCTCTCGATCTGGGTAAAAGAGTCAAAGTAAGAGAATACATGTGGGCAGCTGAGGGAACTTTCTTGATGCATGGCCTTGCGATCTGGGCTCTCCGACCTGCCTGCCCAGAATCGGTCAAAGAGGATGGACTGGATGAAATCGAAGCAAAGCTCGCGGTTCCCGTTCAAAGGGACTTCGACTGGCTTGAAAATGAGCTTGCCAATAGTGGAGGACCGTTCCTTTTGGGTAACGATGTCACGGCTGCCGATACTATGTTGGCATTCTCCTGCCAATTCATTATTGCAAGTAACTTGGGCCTGGGGAAAAAGTCATGGCCCCACATCAATAAATGGCTTGAGAATGTCGAAAAGCGAGATGCTTACCAGAGGGCGATAAAAAGAACTGGTCATCATCTTTGATTGTTAAATCCTGCTTGACGAGTGATGTTGGAGCTGCTAGTATTTCTTACAATAAAAACGGATCTGGAACAATTTGTAGCAAGAGAAATAACAGAGAAATAACACAATGTTGGGGGGCAATTGACTGACCGTCACCAATGTGCTAGTGATCAACGGTATATTATCACATGTTCTTACTTTGCCTGTTCGCTCTCTCCATTCAAAAAAGGACAACGGGCAGTGTAAAGCGAAGGACGGAAGAAAGGAGCCTTGATATGCTTTAGTCTTATATTTAATAATCTGGGAACGTTCTATAACGCCAAATGCAACGAAAATTATGTTATATAACCTTAAGAAATATGATTTCGTCAGCAGATAAGGTGTCGTCTTCTAGACATGATGTGATAAAGAAAGCAACAAGATATCAATTCCTTTCATCACCAATTCTCAGCCTTTGGGTCGTAGTAGATTGATACACCTGGGAGGGTATATATGAATAGAGAATGAGAGGATTTCTGGTCACAATAGAGAAGCACTCTGAGTAACATATCTCTCTAGAAACTTCCCACGGCGTGGTAAAAATTTCAAACGAGAAGAATCCACGCCTTTAGAATGTTGTTGTATGCGAAAACTTCATTTGACTGTGTTTCTATGTACAGTATCGCTTGGAGTTACATAAGAGTTGCGAAATAGAGATTTTGGATAATTATTATCGCTTGGTCCATCTGGGCTGGAGATAAGGGTTTGTAACGCCCCCTTTCCAAAATGGTGGCATTTTCCGTCTCTGACCGACTATAGATAGAGGTATTGACGAGAAAATGAGATCCGCTTTCGCAAGTGGCCAGGCCGATGAACGCGCGACGACTGTTCGGGTTAGTTGTGCAATTAATCTTCTTGAATCCTACGTGGGCCCATAGGTCCACGTCCCATATTTGCAGGTCTATGACGGACCTCATCCAGCCGTGTCGGCCGTTATATAAGCCACGCTACGTGGTCTACTTCCGTGTGGCAAGTGACAAATCGTAACACGTTAATCTTGTAGTATTTGTAAGATCGTAGTACTCTCTAATAAATGTGCAAGTAGACTTCCGCAAAGCCCAACTTGGGCCTAAGAACTCGGCCCAAAGCCCAACCCAGGCTGGGTCCGGGCCGAACTTCTCCAACCCGGACCCAACCCGGACCCAACGCTGGGCCCCCAGTAAAACCCAACCAGGCCCAACTTAGCCCAACTTTTGCATAATTCTTGTCATAACTCTGCTCAGTCATCAAGATAATATACCGTTCTTTACACATGTCTGGTCTAGACAACGTAGCACTATGCCTTCTTTTCATAAATCATTTGAAATTTTAAGAAATAGACTTGTATTCATAAGGAGTTGATTTAGCATATACTAAATTACCATAGAGCTATATGAAAGTTCTATTATTCTAGGCGCGGTCTGTTAATCATGAGATTTCTGCCTTGAATTAATAATGAAGTGATATTTATAATAGAAGGTACCTAGTGCATCTTTTGAGAGTAAAGAAAATTTTTATTGAATTGCACTAATTTAACAAAGTATAGAGAATAACATATATAAAAGTGATTCATTTTATTTATTTAATTAGATTAGTTTACTCAGAAATCAGCCAAAAGAAGACTATAGAGTAGGAAGGCCACTGGAAGATTGAAGTTTTTCTTCTTGGCGTGATGGGTTGAAATTTTTTGACGATCTTAAACATAAGTTGGGCTGGGAATTGGGTTATTATTGGGTTTTTTGGGCTTTTACTGGGTTTTGGCTGGGCTTTCTGGGTTATTACTGGGCTTTAGTTAGGCTTTCTGGGTTATTATTGGGCTTTCTGGGTTATCTCTATATCATATATAGCTCTCTAGCTAATCAAACCTAATTCTTCTTATTACCCCCTTATCATGATTGATATATCATGTTTATTTAACTTATTTCCTACTACCTAAAGATACTATTACTTAGTAGGTGTCTCTTTAATCAATCCTCCCTTACATTTAATATTGATTATAGAGCTAATTCATTATATCATAAAGTCAGCACTCTGACTTCGTATCCTTAATTTATAACGGTGAGATAGACAATCTTAGCTATCTTATAATACCAAACCCCCTAGCCACTCCATCTGGTAGTTAATATACGCTTGATGCCTCTGAACAAGACTTTCTCCGACCTCTCTAACCGGTAGTTCCTTCCTCTTTTACACGCGTTAGACCTAACCGAAGGAAAGCCTTTATTCTCTATAAAAGAATAGCCTATAGTGAATAGGTGGACTGGTGGTTATAGACTGATTATGGGAGAAAAAGTAAGATCAACTGGGACTTAACCCGACATGCGGAGATTTGGAGCCAGTTCCACCAAGTTACCCATAATATGGATGGTGCGCTAAAGGTAATGTGTCAACGCTGTGGTGCTATCCTTGAGCATCTATACACAATTAATCTAAAGGTAAAGGGTAAGGCGTAATACCATGGTATATCGATAATATAAAGATACCTTAAGATAGTAGGGTGTTTAAAGGCTGGGTAAGGGAAGGGGAATAAGGTCACTAAATTTCTAAAGAATGGGGTATGTTCGATCATTTCTTTAATCCTATCTTTGGCCAAAGTCAGTGTCTAATATCTTAACTAGTATATTTTGGGGAATACTAGAGACTACTGATGGATAATAATACGCCCTTTTCATAAGAATTATGGGAAGAAGACCTCCTCCAATTTTGAATACTTAATCGACTCCTACTTTACCTTATTGAGCATCCCTCGCTCCGGCGTCTGATTTCTCGGGCTCGCTGCGCCCTAAGCCTACTAATAATCCCCTCTGCTGATATAATCCGCCGCTGATTAATGGGAGTGGTTTTATTGGGGTTGCCTCACAATGCCTGTAGCCTCACCATGTCTGTAGCCTCACGTGATATCTACACCGACATTTCCGAGGGCCTCTTGTCCTCTCCTACAACTGCCTCACGAGAGTCAGTTGATGGCCTCTGCGGGTAGCTCGTCATCTCTCAGGCAGTCAAGTGTCAATTTTGTCCCTCCCACCTTCCCTCTGTATATAGAATCCACTACAATACAGACACATTGCCTCCCTTTAAGGGAGCGCGGACGGGGCCTATCTGACGCCACGGTCTACGACCGCAGCGACAGGTAACCCGTTGCGGCCAAACTAAACTCTTCTTGCTCCTCTTGACTGCGTGAGGTCACCAATAAATAGTTAAGTTAGTTAACTAGGTAGGTAATTCAAATGACTATGTAGTGAATTGGTCAATACCAGTTACAGAACAACTGGTGTTTTTAATACCCGTGACTGTTCGTAGTCAGAGATTAGTCTGCATTGCCATGAGCTGAATTTGTTCGATTCGTCGAAGAATTATGCAAAGCTTTACGCTATTAAACAAAGTCCCATTATGTAATTCTGTTGGTTCCATTTTATTCCTCCTTAGAATGTCACATTTAGTGGGGTCTTTGAGGTGTGAGGCTTGGCAAGAATTACGTTATTCTCGGCTGCGAAAGCTATGTCGATTATCCATACACTACCATCTCGTTATGCATATATTACTTGAGGACCTCGCATAGAGACTGCTTCTGACTCGTGTGTCTTAGAAGACAACACACAGGAAATCTCGTCTCAATGTGTCAACATTTCATTCTTACGCACTTTTCATGGAATTGCAAATGCGGCACACCGTATCTCATTCCGCGACCGAAGGCGGAAATATTGACCAAATCCAAGATAATTATGGGTTGAAACTTGGATGGTCAAAACGCAGTCGACATATCACATGGGCATATTTCACACTTACAATGTCAACTGGAGGCTTGGCAAGTGTATTCCACTCAAGTAAGCTTTACCAGTCAGAGGCAAGTAAACTTTGCTTAACCCTATATCAGTCCCTTATCGATTCCCAGGACTGGAGACTATTGGGACAGTCGTCTTTTTGCTGAATATAATCCTCTATCTGCTTATCTGGAGTTTAATTTTGACGAGGTTCTATCTCCATCCACGTGCATTCAAGGCCTCATTCCTTCACCCAACAGAATCATTGTTTGTTCCTGCATCAGTTGTCTCTTTCGAAATAATCGTCTCAATATTTCACAATACGGAATCGGCCATACCGGTTCATGGCCTCCCGATACCGTCAGCATAATCTTTTGGACTCTTACTGCGATTGCTATAATCTTTTCCGTCGGCATTTATGTTTTGTTGTACGTTTTCCATTGAATAAGAAGTTGGCATTGCAACTAATGATTGTTGACAAGATGGTCTACACAGAGCTTCACGATTGCAGAAATGACTCCAATGTGGATCTTCCCAGCCTATCCTTTATTGATTATTAGACCTCTAGCGGGGTCACTTTGCAGCGTATTGACGACCCCAAAATCATTGATCACGATTCTAGTTGGTATTACTGTCCAGGTAGTCGGATTTCTAGTCTCGATGATGATTTTACGCAGCATTGATATATCGGCTTATGTCGCAGAAACTTCCAAGGGAGAAGATACGGCCAGGAATGTTCGTTTCAGTGGGTCCTAGCGGCTTTACCGTCACCTGTATGCTAAGTATTGCACAAGAAGCTGCAAAGATATTTCCGCCAGACTTCTTAGGAAATGGATTTACTACGGCACAGATATTTCTAGCTTCCGTCAATTTCGGTTGTTTATGGCTATGGGGGTGGGTGAGTCTGAAAATTTTGATTACGAGATCTTGACCATTGACTAGATCCAGGCTCTCTATATTCTTTTTCCTTGCGGCAACAACTGCACACTGGTCTGTTATAGGTCCAGGCCGATTACCACTTTCTATGAGTTGGTTTAGTTTTGTATTTCCAAACACAGCACTGGTCACCGCCACATTTGCTGTTGGCAAAGCTTTTTCATGCAATAAGGTCAACATCATTGGCTGTGTAATGGTGATACTTTTGGTTCTGATGTACATTTTTGTTTGTGTAAATGATTTCGGGCTGTTAGCCTCTACCATATAATGTGGCCACAAAGAGGAGAAGATCGGGACGAAGGCGGATTCAATGCCTTTTACAGTCGGCCTACGTTGACAGTCTGTAGTGGAGCGATAGTCTAAATGTTACGTCTGACATATGATTTATAATTGGGCAAAAGTATGTCCATCGAAATTCGCATTAGGTCTCGAATACAATGCATTCCTTTATTTAAAAAAATTAGGAGGTATTCCCTATGGACTGGTATGGATTCAAAGGGAAAGGTAAGATGTAAAAATCCACATGGCACGCGATAGATCGCAAATATGAAGTAAGTGTTATGAATCGCTCAACAGTCCAACAGGAAATAATTAGAAATAGTATTTGATTACAACAAATATATATAGATATACGCTCTAGTGTGACTATAGTCCTCCCACCGATAGTTATGATTTGATGGGGGTCCTACTCTACATCGCATAATGTAATGATCTATTGGTATAACCGGCGATATTAAATGCCATCATGGAAAAATACTGACAACAAGAGAATGATAATGGTCATTGTCAAGGGTATGTTGAGATTAACAGGGCCGTAAAATGTATACTTCGTGACGTATCTGCTGCCGAGTCTATTTCACAACAGAGTATTTTTAGTGATGGGAAACAACACGATTCAACTTTATGTTTTGGATAGAATCATTCACTCGTAATAAGAGTGGCCGATCTCACTGATGAATGCAGACATATACGTCAACATTAGACCTAACGGTAATATTGTTAATTTTGAAGGAAATTGCTTTCATGCATACCAAACATTCGAATATGAAGACGGGCAGGTGGTCCTAGACGTTACCTTAAAAAGCACAAGAAAGCTCCACACACCATAGCACATTCAGCGCATCAGATGAGTAAGTGACAACAGCGCTAACAGAGAATTAATTTTTTTCGCCTTGACATTTTTATACCTAGAATATAAGTAGAAGCAATAATATTGTTCCGAATCTTCATCTCTTTGCATCCACAGTTAAAATAGTCTCTGGAGATATTACATCTTGTTGACCTTCCCCGTTGTCGCCATTTCAATTAAACAGCGTCTAAGAACTAGGAAAGGCTGTTGCAGTTGGCTTGATCCTGGGTCTTCCCGGCTAGCTGTTTCAGCTTAGATGTTGCACCGATTAGTCCTCTTCATCCTCTTCATCATTACCGAGTCAATCGAAGACCCACTTTGTTACGCTGCGCGAACCGGTGGATCTTCCGATCAAGGCCTACTACGGCCGCATGATGACTGACCATTAAAATCAATCGACATTTTGTTCGCCACCTCTCTGCACTAGCAGTAACAATAATGAAATGAATCGGCACTTCATCCAGTCAAAATAGGAGGTTTTGGCGAAAGTATGCACTCCGGGTTCCGGATCTGCGAAATTAGAACCAATATCAAAGTTGAGGCTTATTTGGCACAGTATTCGGAAGTAGAATCGGAGCACATCCGTCCATCGCTCCAGATCTTCAAGATATGACGACAAATGAAACAAGGGGCCTGGGTATCCGCATTCAACTCCCGATGCACACCGTGTGACTGTTGCCACCGACTATTTTGAGCCTGAAGGCGATCATTCTCCTCCTCTAACTGCTTGGCTCGAGCTTCTAGCTTCCGAACCTGTTTTTGCTTTCGCTCACGAAAGGCCTTTTGACTATGCACCGCGTCAGTCAATCAATGAAGCTCAACAGCCGTGGCGGTGCTTACGCGATCCTATTTTGAGATCTTTTTCTCTCCTGCGGGGACTGTGTACCATGCGGCACGGCGTTGGAACGCACCAATTGATCCTTACTTCGATTGATCTTCGACCGGGGGTGTGATTCTCCCTGATCCTGCAGTCGTTTGGAGTACGGTGCATACTCTATGTTTGATGTTCTAACAGGATGTGAGAAACTTGACGGATCCGGGAAGTCGTGAAGATCTTCGAGAATTTGACATGGTGCAAGTTGTACGTTGCAAACCAGAGGCTGCTGTTTCCTAGCGCAGGGCGAGCACATAAGCATGATAAGCACTGTATTCCGCCAGGCGAACCACAAGGAGAGGACGGTGGATGTAATGTCAAAACATACTTTCCCGTGCTTCTCTGAGCTGATGCGGTATTGACGCCTTGCGTTCGCGGTTGGGGCCCAACGTCTGACAATGTCGATGTCGAATTCATATATGTACTGCCACACCCTAAAGATTCGAGCAACTCATCATTGCGCTACAGAATTTTAGTGATCAGAATCGGGGGGGGGGGGGAACGAGAGCAACACTTTACGTGAGAGAACGTATGTTGAAATTGTAGGCTGATTGATGATCAATATCCGTTGAGAGGTTAAAAATCGAGGGTTCCATTTGACCATTGACCATGATCGTACTTTGCATGCCAGCTGGATTTGGATCACACACGGATTCCGACCGAATAGAAATTTATGAACTTCTTGAACATCGATGTTGGGAGGTTAGCCCTTGGTGTATTATATCCCTTGGACTTTCGGCGTCCGAAGGAGCCCTTGTAGCTGTCATCATGGTTTGAACCTGTTGACCGTCCGATATGGCCAATTGTTCCATTAATATGCTAATTGATCCACTTTCTGACCCCGCATCTCGTTCCGACAATACCAGAACGGAAAATGCAACCCGGGGCAAACCAATTACATTTGAATTCGTACCTGGAACGTCCATCGGCTCTTGCTCGTTTCTCTTAATGCTTCACAGATCCGGGAGGCGTGAGGGAGTAATGGATCTTGGGGGAGAGTGTCATGACAAGAGCTTGTTGTATTGGTGTCCAGACGAAGGCGCTCAGAGCTTTACCGTCTTACCCCACGGTTCCAGATTAGATTCTAGACCATTTGACGTCAAACAGTAGACCCTAAGCCAAATTTAGCCAATGGTTCTCAAATCGGTCATCTTGGAAAAACCCCCACAACCTGTTCGCCGGGACAAATATTTTTGCCACCCGTAATCTATTTGCCCGTAATCTATTTACCCGTAATCTATTTGATGCGCGTGACTTGATTTCGGTAAATGAGCCTAGAGAAGTCAAAATCATGGCAGGTACTCTATAATAGCGGGAGATTTTTCCTGTCCGAGATATTTACATATAAGGCATGGCCTTGTAAACCAGCCAGTCGTGGAAACGGTTTCTGTCGCGGACGGAACACTCACTCGCAGTGAGGACCGGAAATTGCTAACATGTATGTCAGTCCTGCGACGAGAAAGAAGGAAAGAGTATTTCTTTTGATCCTTTGTGGGAATAGTTACCAATGCAGTCAGCACTTTGATGCTAAAGCTTATGACCATGCGCCAAGGAATATTGCGCACATATCAACCCTACTCGAGGTAAAAATGTATTTCCAATCCGATTCCGCCCATTCTATAGGATGGTGGTCTCTTCCTTGATCGTACGCAGTCGGTGATCAAGAGATGCTACTCAGAACGCATGGAGCAACTGCGAATTGTTTACACTACCTTATCCAATGTGCTGTTACCAAGAATTTTCATCACATCCACATGGACACGCTTGGCATGATTAGCGAGATACGTGATAAGTTCAAGCGTCCTATCGCTTTCAGTTCCTGAATAAAATCGATCCAGTACGTAGAGTACATAATGAAGAGGGGAACGCTCGTTGGCTGTACGCTCTGACGACGCACGAATCGGATATACTCAGCAAAACCCACCACGACCGAAGGTCGCCCTCGGCGAGCAGTGGATCCCTCGACAAAGGTCAAAAGTGAGAGATGTGTAAGAGCGTGTATTCTGTAACTAGTGCTAAGTTCGTATTAATATGACCGTTTCCCTTACATGACGAAATGTGACCCGTAACGGTATGGTAATCCGTACAGGGACCGAGTCTCCCCACTACAATGGGTACGTAGAGCACGTGGAATACGGCCATTTCACTGACGGAAATTTTTGTGAATACATCGTATCGGTCAATTTGACACGCTCTGGTCTGCGCACATCCTGGACGGTACGCTGTTCTAACTTCACAGACCCAAATAGCCCAAGCTAAGAAAAAATCTGGTCTCCGTTCACGTCAAACTTGATTTCTTTACCCGGGTTTGGCTGGGAGACAAGTCCTAGCTGTTGAAGGACTGTCAGTCCACCTTCTTCGGCGATCTCATGCGTGATCTTCCCGTTTTTCAGAGTGAAGATTGTGATGCCCGAAAAATATATTTTCATTCCCGTGTTAGGTTTCGCGAGTTTTCCAACTACCAGATCATCAAAGGCGACTCCGGTGTGTGTGCCTCCGCCAATCCACTGTGCGGCAACATAATCACCCTCCGCGATCATGGGTGTCAAATATGGACGAAAGGTCAAATCCGGGAATGCCTTTATAACCGGCGAGTTAGTGAACTTCTGCGGACGACTACTCACAACCGCGCGATCAAGAAACTGACCTCTCTGAATTCGGAAAGCATCTGCTTTGCTCCTGATTTGCCGTGACGTGGGCCATGGTTTGGATAGCTCATCAAGAAATCATCAGAGCAAAGTTCGTCGACAATGGAGACGTTTCCCCTTTGCCCAGTATTCGTCAAAATACTTGGCTATGATGGCTTTGTTCTTTTCTTCCAGAGACATTTTAGAGAAAACCAAATTGGCGGGTTGTTGACGAATAATTTCGTTCAATGGTTTGTTCAGAAAACTAGGATGCTCAACGTCTTTATATTCTCTCTTGTAGATATATGTATGTAGATATAATATATACGGTGTGTATTTTATATTAAAAGCGTATATTACGTGATGCATATCTAGGATCTGACAGGTGGAAGGTTGGAAGTTTTTTCATACGCTTTGAATTAGGACACGTTTTACATAATGGATGACAGCTAGGTTAGCTTAGCTAACTATCGCCTATCTGATGACTAACCTGTATGTAGTTAGTTACGCTTTGACTAATTTGCATTACATAATGCGGCGCAGTTATACAGATAGAGATTGGGTATAGCTTTAAGGGGGTCATTGCCTTTTTTCGGGTAGCCTTATGAAGGTTTCATATGATGCTGAAAATGAAGGCCGTATCCGGTAATCAGTATCAGTCACCGTACTGCGTGGACCAATCGAAAGAACGGAGCAACTGCAACAAAGTTTATCAAAGTTTGATGACTACGGCCGTCCACGGCCGCCTTGCACGCTCTAAAAGTCGGGTAAGTGGTTAAGTGGTCAAGTCTAGGCTTTTTCTTGCAAGGATTAAAGGCTAAAATGACACAAATCCGTCTTGGCGTTTAATAATATACTCCCGATGTATTGAACGAGGTCACGGATGAGATGAGGAGATAGCACAATGCTAATATATATGTTGGGTATCCCTCGACCAGAACACGCGGTAGTTAGAATATAAGAATATAACTTTACACCCAAGTTCAGCTAGATTACATTACTTGTAGGCTACTAATCATGGGCTTAACAAAAAAAAAGCATATGTCCGGTTGTCCGTTGCATCACAGCCAGGGCAATTCTACACGCTGCGTCTCGGGATGCATAACGTAATTCCCAACCGATCCGCCCGCCTAGCCTTTCTGGACATCCCAGACAATCGTAGCCAACGCGATGATTCACAGTATCAAATGAGTATTCAACCTTGATGGTATGGTATTAAATGCAAAAAAGATGAGAACACTTCATACGGTGTTATGGGTGACCAGAGCGACCGAGGATTACGTTAGCTTATCCATGAATCACGTAAGACAACTGTGTCGAATTACTTACGTAGCTAATTCATAAGCTAGTGAACATCACGTAATCCTCGTGCACAAGTATTGCGCTTGGCCACGAGTCCAGAATGGGAATTTACGGCCGGGTACTTAGTTTGACGACTACGTGACTATGTGTATGGTGGAGTTCAGGTTCAAAAAATGAAGATAGTTGCACCATTGAGAGATTTGTTTTACGGTGAGGCAGCACCTGTTATTATATACGATGGCGTAATTTTTCTCGTAATATAATGCGCCGGACGTTTCAGTCCCCCTGAATAGCCATCGATTAGGTAGTTTGAAGCAATGACGTGAGATATACAATTCGTCGGGTAGTACCAAGTCCAATCTGTGTGTGTTCGTTAGTGACCCAACCCTGGCGTAACAGACACCTTCTAAGTGCAGGCGTAAGTACGGTTTTGAGGGAACACTTGTCATTTGTTTTCATTCGAATCAGAATATCCGAATATTGAAACGATCACAATTTGTACGTTGCCAGATATAATTGACAGTCAGACATATGCGATGTCAAGCAACGAGGATACTCCAATGCGTCAAACGTGGATACAGTCCAATATAACTTCATTGTTCTAGGCGGAGGCAGCGGCGGTAGCGGGAGTGCTCGACGAGCAGCGGGGTCTTACCATGCAAAAACACTAATCGTCGAAAGTGGTCGCTCGGGAGGAACATGTGTGAATGTTGAGTGATCAATTTCGAGCGACATGCTCCATTGTATCTGTATTCCCATGGATCGAAGAGACCTTCTTACGATTTCCGGCAGTTGTGTTCCTAAGAAAATGACCTGGAATTTTGCGCATATCAACGAGATGACTGATGCTGGAAAACAATACGGCTATGGGTTTCCAGAACAGGCCCCAATAGACTACGGATGTTTCAAGGCGAAACGAGATGCTACCGTGAAGCGACTGAATGGCATCTATGAGGAAAACTGGAGTAAAGAAGGCATTGATCTCGTACAAGGTCGAGCTTCCTTTGTTTCTCCCAAAGTCATTGAGGTCGTATGACGAGACAATTCCCGCAAAGTCCGATACACAGCACCACACATCCTCATTGCTACAGGGAGTTATCCAAACATCCCGGAGGTGCGGGGCGCGCAACACAGCATCACCAGTGATGGCTTCTTTGAAATGGAGAAACCCCCGTCCAAGATCGCTGTTGTGGGGGGTGGTTATATTACTGCAGAAATAGCTGGAATGATGGCAGTCGTTAAAATTGAGACACATTTGTTTATCCGTGGCGAGACCTTGCTGAGGAAGTTTGATCAGATGATTCAGAAGACTATGATGAACTGTTATGAGCAGCAGGGCATCTTCATACACCGTCACCACAGAGGGTTCAGAGAAATACAGTTACTTCAAGATGGAGAAGGCAGCGATAAGCTGCTGAGGCTGGTTAGCTACGACGGATCAGAAATGGTCGCTAATGAACTGTTGTGGGCCATTGGTCGCAGCCCGGAAATCCACGACTTGCGCCTTGAGCGTGCGACGGTCGACTTGATGTCTTCTGGTCATATCAAGGTTGATGCCTACCAAAACACTTCAGTACCCGGAATCTATGCTTTAGGAGATGTCACTGGACAAGCTGAGCTCACACCAGGTATGTGTTGTCTGACTAGAAATTTGAAAATTCGCCTTACCGTGCTTCCGCAGTTGCTATTGCGGCAGGCCGTCAGCTCAGCAATCGACTATTTGCCCCCCCCCCCCCCCCGAGTTTGCGACTGCCAGGTTGTCCTACGAGACTATCTCAACAGTCGTATTCGCTCACCCTGAGATTGGCTCCGTAGGGCTTACAGAGTTCACCGCTCGTCGACAATTTGGCGACGGTCAGGTTCGAATCTATCACACGCGCTTCACTGCTATGTTTTACGACGTTCTCAACGACGATGATAAGACAAAATACCCCACCGAAATGAAACTCGTATGTGTCGGCACCACCGAAGAAGTTGTGGGTCTCCACATGGTGGGTCTTGGAATATCTGAAATGCTGCAAGGGTTTGCTGTGGCTGTGAAAATGGGCGCGACTAAGAGAGACTTTGACAGCTGTGTTGCAATTCACTCCACCAGCGCCGAAGAGTTAGTTACTTTACGATAGGATGAGTCGAGGTCGGCTCGAATCATTTACAATCGGTGTCTTGACGGGATCACCGATTTCGAGTCATGGTTCAAAACCATGTCAGCAAAGCCAGTCTGATCCAGTCCTCATTGTTTAGAAATCCGGGCATTTGCGGGATTGAGACATTACGGTGCGGTTTGCTATGCCAATTCGAACTTTCGTCTCGGAACCCTGTTAGGATATAGTATAATTATATACGGGTTGAATATCAATCAAAATGATAAATACTGTAATCGAGAAGCAATGCTGCTCGGTGTTTCCTACCTTATTACGTGCGGTGTATGTTATATTAATGCAGGACAGTTCTCCAACACTCTCCACAAATCTAGGTTGTTCACGATCCGCTACCTGAAATGACCACGGCAGTGATGATCTGGCCGCGCCATTGGCTTCATATGAATTGAATTCGAAACCAAGGGGTTCAAAGCTAGGGAACTACTTTGAAGGCACAGATAACAATTTCCGCTGTGAGAAACGGGCAGATTAGATGACCAAACATCGATATCTGGCATCTAAAGCGACTATCTGGGCTTTCCTTACCAGATCTGAAGCAATTATTGAATACTAGCGGTAGTATAGACTTTCAAGATATTTCTTTGCAGATATCGTCGTCGAGCTAATTCATTATAGAACTATAGTGGAAGAATTGTGATTGAATAGTTCTTTGATTGATGCAATTTACAGGCCACATGGCCGCTATCCAAGCAGACACATCCCGTGTACGCCCTCAAACCATCAAGAGTGCAGCTGAACCAACCTTCTCTCAGATGGTAGTGAAATGTACCCTGTTAAATTTACAACTATTAAAATACGGTTTGAGGTGTAGTGGTCGGAGGGCTTCTAAACGCAACGTGTATTATGAAGATGATGCGCCAAATATATTAAAATTATCTCTGCAATTCCCGTACCGTCGCACAAGTACACACTGCTTGCTCTGCTGCTGGTCGCCACCATTTACAGGGAATTATTTTCAATTCGTTCTCCAATCCACTCTCTCTAGCTCGCTCTCCAATCCGCTCTCTAATTCCGACTCACTCACCCACTTCTAATCTCATTCAGGACCGATATACTGTCATGGCACTAAACCAGCTGTTCGATGAGAATAACTAAAGAATTTCTGTTCGTGGTAGCTGGAGTCAAGTTGATCGAGCATGTCGCACATATCTTCATAGTAATCAAACACTACCATCGGCCTGCCGAAGGGGTTTTTGAGACAGAATAAGCCGCGAAGGTGAAATAAAACTTCCTTAACAAAGCATAGACAGAGTTTTGAATCCAGTACCACTACATCCGAACGGTTTTCGGCGATCTGTTCCGCACAATTGTCAAACTAAAAGCTACCTTAGCAAGAGGCTAGAATCCTGAACTTATTGCACTATTCTTACTGCCTACCCACACCAGGTTCGACGTCACATCCCGTAGCTAGGAGGTAACAGTGGTGGGCTGACCTTCCTAAATAGGATTATGGTTTGACGGACCACTGATGGATAGGAAGCTAGTCTAACGAATTTCCACTGCTGTCTTCGATGTCTACGGCATATATTCGACGACGATAAGACATTGATCGAATATCTGAAGGGCTACTGGAGCTCATTGGGCTAACAAATCACACCATTCCCAGATTTATTAACTTGTCCTTCGATTAATTCCATCCACCAGTGGGAGGTTTTCACCTCTCAAACATGAACAGCGGGGATGGACGGCTGGATGGATTTTTTGTGTGGGTACACAGGTCTCTTGCCCAGGAGAACGCTTGTCTTTGCCAATGGTCTTGTCCCGGAAGCAGCAAGACTCTCGCCAAACCTTAGGCTTGCCATCCTGTCCTTGCTTCTCATTGCAATCTTCAGTCGCACGCTGCAGGGAGGCTCGCCGAATACGTGTCTGTTGTAAGAGATCTAAGATTTTTGTATTGTTGTGGATTTATGTGGGTCTCGACCCAAAGATTTAAACACCAATCTAACCCTACTGCAAGGGCACTTCATATCAGCGTGACAGGACCATACTGTCAGTACGGGTGATTCCACGGCTTCATATTTAGATCAAAAGGAGGGAAAAGAAAGATACTTTACCAATAACACCACTGATATTTTGAACTTAGCATACTCCATGTTGTAACTAAACCTCGATATGACACGAAGTCCTCGCTGGGCTTGTGGGTCAAATTTTCCACCGAAAGGGAAAAGAAACAATCCCGCCTCGAAACTCTGGATCCACTCACTCGTTCTAAGTGGGCGCCATACTAGCCGAGACTGTTTCAAGTGTGGAGCGTTGTATCGTAGTTTTGTCAGAGACACCGGCATGATTGTTGCCCTGTTTTCTAGAATAGTCGGAGAGCAGCGGTCAAAACCCCGGCAGGATGTATTAGCCTACATTACTTTCATGAAACGTAGACTGATTAAGTTGGTGAGCATGAACTGCACACCTTTTCACCAATGGGAAAGTGAAACTTTAGTACCATTGATGGGTTGCTGTGCGTTCTGTTCGAGTCTCCATCGCCAGCGCATTTCAATCGCTCTGCGGGATGAGCTGCCAGATATGGTAACGAGACGCCTTAGACTGCGGTTTGCCTGCACTTGAAAGTGTATCGAACCGATCATGGGCTTGTTTTGTCAATGGGCATCATAAAATTGAGTATACAGCTGTTTTGGATTAAAGTCCCCAAAAATCAATAGTTAGTGGATTGGATAGCGGCTTGCTTATATAACACGCTAGTTGAGTCGCTAGTTGAGTCAACCGATCGAGTTTCAGCAACTTCAGAAATTCTGTTCACTATGACAAGCGAAGCATGTGGACAACATCAACGGTAGGAATAACACTTTTTCCGATGCCTGTGAGGATTCATCTTAAACCCGACACATCCATTCGACAGCCACTCCCGCGGGTGAATGTCTTCAATACATCGACTGAACTCCTTTCACCATGGAGTGTACATATACAGTTGCTCCCTATCTCATGTATTTCGATATTTCGCTCTCGAAATTCGCTGCGGCGCGTCCTGAATTTGATAATTTTGGTGTTGGTGGTTATATTTTCTCTCAAAATGGATCGTGTTGTGATATGAGGCTGGTGCAGATCAGGAACCAAGCCGAACCATCGGAATTAATCCCGAAATATGTATACGAAGAATCAAGTTGATTGGAAATCAACTTGATCTTCCCGTTGTATATATAGCCTCATGTTTCCCTATGAGTAAAAAAAAGAAAATGAATCTCCCTTTGAACTACAACAGGTTATGAGCCCGGAAGCAAAGTCTCGGGTGCCATCTCTACTCATCTGAGAATTATCTTAACCATCTTGATTATATATCTACCCCGCTTTCGCAATCATCACTATGTCTGCTCTGGTCCATGACTCTCCGGACCGAGCCGTCACGGCCATCGAGCCTCTGACAGGAAGCGATAACTACGCAACCTGGAAACGTCTCATGACCTCCTACCTGAAAGCCAGGCAGGTCTGGGATGTCGTGTCGGGCGACCTCCAGCGTCCTGATTGCTTATTCAAGTACGCCAAGCCTATTACGGCAGACATCCACCCCTTGGTGGAACCGCACCTCGCTGGGGCGGTGAGACAGCGCGCCATTGAGGCGCGCCTCGAAGTGGAGGTCCAGGCATTCGAGCGCCACCGTGAATGGTCGCGCCGCGAAGCTGAGGCCTATCACACCATTTTCCGGTATCTGTCCCCCCACATTAGCATTCATGTCGCGGGACTTGAGACATCTCGCGACCTCTGGAATGAACTTGAAGAACGGTACCGGCGAATGGAACTCGCCACGTTCTGCGAGTTGTTTGCGCAGCTCCGTGAAACCACTGGCGAGCGCTGCGGCAGTGCCCGCGAATTTGTCGATCGGGTACGGTTGCTCGTACATCGATTGAATGCTATCGCGCCCGGATCCATTGGCGATCGAACGCACATTGCGATTTTACTGACGCAGATCGGACCGGAATACATTCTAGTTGTGGATGCCATTCAGAATGACAAGGATCCGGTGAATCCAACCACGATCGGAAATCGTCTGTCTAATGCTGAGCAGACGGTTCGGAGAAAAGAAGCTCCAACACCCTTACAGGCAGCATCTGGCCCGTCTGTTAATACGGTGCAGCAGACTGCCAAGAAATGCAACTATTGTAAGAAGCGCGGCCATGTGGTCGCGCAGTGCTGGAAGAAGCAGCGAGAAGCTCAGCCGTCCAGGGACCATGCCCTGAAGGCCGAGAGGAGTGTTTCCGGCTCACCAAGAAATAATTTGCAAATGATACCATCAAGCCAGATGGAAGATCGGCAGGGCCCGCCGACTTCCAAGAGACCGAGGATCAATATCGTGAGGGCGAGGGTGACGACCCTTTATACCCATGCACCGCAACCCCGGTGGATCCTGGACTCGGCCGCCACCAGCCACATCTGCTGGGACCGGAGCTGCTTCAGCAGTCTGCGGCCCCACCGCGAGATGTTGGACACGGCGGGCGATCCAGTGGAAGCCGAAGGGATTGGTACGGTGAAGCTCACGCTCCGGGGGAAGTTCAACCAGCCCCTGGTGTTGAAGAATGTGTACTTTGCGCCACGCGTCGGGATGAACCTGATCAGCGTGCCGAAGTTGTTGCGAGACCGCTACTCGGTGGTGGCGCACCCGCAGAACGTCTTTGTGCAACGCCGTGGACGAACCGTGGGGACCGCCTTCCATGCGGAGGAGGATCTGTTGATCCTGCGGTGCCATGTGAGCAAGAGATCCCGAGAGCGAGTCCAACTGGCGAGGGCGCCGACGACCCATGACCATGCAGATTCCCTGGAACCGCAGGCGGTGGACATGGACGTCGACGATCCTAGGGAGTCAAGTGACGCAGAATGCGCAGCGTCAACCTCTGAACTCGGTGGTGAAGCTGTGATACTCGAAGCAGATGTGTGCACAGGAGTAGACTTTAGCAGGCCCGTGGGCATGCCCGTGTGGACGGCCCGCGGGCCTGTCCAGGTGGACAAAAAGTGATTTG